CTCTTTCTGTCTGTCTGGCGAGCGCACATGCCCTATAGCGAAAACCTCAAAAAAAAAATAAAAAAAGAAAGAAAAGAAAGAAAATAACGTGCCTCAGGCATAGTTACTGGGAGCATTGAACATCTTCATCACAGTGTCTGGTTTAGGACTGCGTACATGACCCATTTGAAGAAAATATTTTTTTGGAGTATTTTTAGGGAGCGATAGAATGCTGTGCCCAGGCTCCTCGCCCTGCGAATTTGCAGTGCCTTTCACAAGAGCAGGCCAAACATACTCCACACCCATTATGTCGGGCTTGTCCCTGCGACTTGCTTGGAGCAATGGAATGTGAGTGGAAGGGACAGCTCAGAGCTGAAGCCTTGGGAAACAGCATGTGGTCCTCTTTCGCTGCTCTGCTCTTCTGCCATCTGCCATGAGTGGAGCTGCCCTGGATAGTTGCAAGTCCCGGAATGAGAGACAGAAGGAGCACACCTCAGAACTCACGGCTCGAAGCAGCTCTTCTCCCCTCTACCATGAACTAATATGCAGATCCACAGGCAAAAACCAAAACAGTATTTATCACTGTAAGCTACTAAAAATGGAGAGTTGTTCCATACATTCTCACAACGAAAACCTAGCTAATCTACCCTGTCTGTGTTCAGATCCATTCCTCCCTCTCTTCTCTGCTCATACAGTGAGAGCGAGCTGACCCCGAATGGGCTGCATTTTATACTTTTCCTGTCCATTGGCGCTGGCCGGTTCAATAGTGGAAGGCGTTAGTGGAAGATTGAAGGATGAAAGGAGGGAAAAGTCAGGGTATTTCTCCTTCACGTTTCTGCCTCAGATTGCATCTCCAGTAGGGACTGCACCTCCTGGGGGCTCCCATTTCTGTAGGGCAAATGCTACCCTGGGGCTGAGGGCTCTGACTTCTGAACCCCCTCTTTCCAATGTCCTGTAACTGGAGTGGTTTCCTACGCTCATCTCTGGGCTGTCCCATCTCTCCTGTTTATCTTCACAACTCTTCTATCTGCTGTGAAGTCAAGTCTCCGTGTTCAGTTTGCCTTTTTTAAAAGCTCCTAGAGTGGCTTAGAGTTTTTATTTGAGCCTAAATGTCCAGAGTTACATTTTTTGGTGAGTCTTCAATGTAAGGAATGTAGAACTGGAACTACTGGAACCCATCTTGTAACTAGAGGGAATCTGAGACTGAAACCAAGGTGAAAAGCACAGCCCACAGAAACGGGATTCTGGTGACAAATTTTGAAATCTTAAATGAGCTTTGCCTAAAGTTAGAGAGTTCTATCCAAGTATTTTAATGACATGAACCAATACATTCCTGTGGTTTTTTTTTTTCCTTAAGTGATTTTGAAGAGTTTTTTCTTTATTTTTTTAAAACAAGCTTTCTTTGTGTCATAAAATTCCTGCCTTTTACAGATAAACTCTGGAACCTTCTGAGGTTCCAGATGGACATGAATTTTAGGAAGCACTATTTGGTCCCCCCCCCAATAGCTATGACACATTTTAGTATTAACCACAACTGTTATCATAAAATTACTTACCATTGAATTATTTATACATAGTATTTATAAACAAAAATCATAATATTCCTTTACAATAGAGCATAGTATTATTTTTGCATAGTTGGCTCTCAATAGATTATCTGAGTAGTTTAACTAAATATAAATGGGGCCAGCAGGTGGTGTGGGGGATAAGGCGCTTCCACATGGCCAACCATGGTTCGAGTACTGGACACAGTGACTTGAGATTCATGCTGTGTGTGTGTGTGTGTGTGTGTGTGTGTGTGTGTGTGCATACATGCCCAAAATCCGAGGAGGAGCATGGAGGACAAGGGATTGTGGCATGACCATCCCCCCGGAGAGTGATTTTTCACTTTCTCTCTCATTGTCTTTGTCTTTCTTCAGTGAGTGCAAGCATCCTCTGGCAAAAGCCTAAAATGAATTTAAAAATAATCATTGCAAATGAATCAAGGTCTCTGTTGCCCAAAGGTTTCATCCATTACTTCATACAAGGCATAATCTGTAACTTGATACTCGATAGTGTCAAAGCATGAGAAACATTTCAACAAACAAAGTAACCCCCAACAACTGCAGTACATATTAAGCAATAGAAGCATTTTTCTTTTGTTTTTAAGATTTTTCCTATAGGGCACATGCACTCACCAGAGAGACAGAGAGAGACAGAGAGACAGAGAGAGACAGAGAGACAGAAAGCAAGAAATCACCCCCTGGGGAGATGGCTACACATCAGTCTCTTCTCCTCCATTGTCCTCTTAGGATCTTGGGCATGCACGCACAGGTGCCCAGCATGAGTTTTAAGCCACCAGGTCTGGGACTCAAACTGCGGTAGATTATGCAGGAGTCCAGCAACGTAACCCTTATGCCATCTGCTGGTCCTGATAGAAGTATTTTTCTAGAGTTGTGAATAAACCAACTCATATTTCAATTCTCAAGGGCTATTTGACTTTTTAAGAGACCCTTCTGTATCCCATAGAGCTTTTTAAACAGATGAATGATTATTCCTAATGTAA